AGGGGGGGAAAATGGCGAGCAGGGGCAATGGGGACGTTGAGCAGGGAAAGGGGGGACGGCGAGCTGAGAAAAGGGGGGGACGGCGAGCAGGGAAAGGGGGGATGGCGAGCTGGGAAAGGGGGGGACGGCGAGCTGGGAAAGGGGGAACGGCGAGCTGGGAAAGGGGGGACGGCGGGCAGGGAACGGGGGGTAAGCCGAGCAGGGAAGGGGGGATGGCGAGCTGGGAAAGGGGGGGGACGTCGAGCTGGGAACGGGGGGGACGTCGAGCTGGGGACGGGGGGAACGGAGAGCAGGGAAAGGGGGGACGGCGGGCAGGGAAAAGGGGGACGGCGAGCTGGGAAAGGGGGGACGGCGAGCTGGGAAAGGGGGGAACGGCGAGCTGGGAAAGGGGGGGGACGGCGAGCTGGGAAAGGGGGGAACGGCGAGCTGGGAAAGGGGGGGACGGCGAGCAGGGAAAGGGGGGGAACGGCGAGCTGGGAGAGGGGGAGGCGGCGAGCAGGGAAATGGGGGGGGACGGCGGCAGGGAAAGGGGGGACGGCGAGCTGGGATTGGGGGAACGGCGAGTAGGGAAGGGAGGGACGGCGAGCAGGGGAAGAGGGCACACGGCGAGCAGAGGAAGAGGGGGAAATGTCGAGCTGGGGGGAGGAGAAACGGCGAGTTAGGGGGAAACGGCCCGCTGGACAGAGGGGAAATGTCGAACTGTGAGAGGGAAACGGCGCGCTGGACAGAGGGGAATGACGCGCGGCGGCGGAGGGGAATGACGCGAAGTGGCAGTGGGGATTGATGCGGCGGTGGCAGAGGGAGTAAGGCGTTCTGGAAGAGGAAATCGCGCTGAAAGAGTGAAGGGGCACGGTAGGGGGCGTGGGTGCTTACCTAAAGTCGAGCGCTTAGCGGGGGAGGAAAGGGCATCGTGAAAAACGATGCCGTGCAGGGAGACTAAATTAGGGTTTGCTGGCGTGGCGCGGTTCTAAGCTTTAGAAACTAGAGAGCTAAGAAACGCGACGCGGCAGTCTAGGAGAGAGAAAGGGAGGGAGTGGAGGCGAGCAAGAGTGACGGGGAACTCGGCCGGGGTGGGGATGGCGAGATCGACGGGGGTGGCGAAAATTTGCTCGACACCGCAGGGTCGTGTTCGCCGCCGCTTCCGTCTCACCGCTCCTAGCCGTTGCCGATACCTTCCCGTTACACCTCCGATACAAACACTTATAACCTCCTATGAAACAGTGAAGTGACGCGAGGGATGCCGAGGCGCGTGGCGAGATCGAGGGGGCGGCGAAAAATCGATCGACCCGCAGGGTCGTGTTCGACGCGCTTCGTCACACCCGCTCGTAGCCGTTGCCGATACCCTCCCGTTACACCTCCGATACAAACACTAATAACAGCTTATAAGATAGTAACGTGAATAGTACCAGCTAGAAGGCTCCTTAGGAAGGTAGGTAGGTAAGCAAGGTCTTAGCGCCAGTGGGCGAGAGCAGTACTGGGCAGGGTGACCTCCCGGAAGTCCTCGTGTCGTACCCATTTCTGCCTGCTCCCGTGCCCGGGAGGGGCAGTGGGAAAAAGAAAGGAGGATTCTTCTCCGAACCGCCCGGGCGGCGATGTCGCGCCGCTCTGCGGAGGGCCGCTCTCTGCATAGGACGCCACGGAGCGCGACTACGTATGGGCGTCCATTCCGCCCCCAGCGAGATGGCGAGCCTCTTGCGGGCACGACCGCGGATGTGACTATAAAGAGGGAGCTGCCTCGGGGAGGAGTGGGAAGCGGACCGCGGACAGGACTGCACGTGGTACGATCATACCTTGGCTACTACGCCGGATCCCATCAGAACTCCGCAGCGTAGCGCCAGTGGGCGAGAGCAGTACTGGGGCAGGGTGACCTCCCGGGAAGTCCTCGTGTCGTACCCATTTCTGCCTGCTCCCGTGCCCGGGAGGGGGCAGTGGGAAAAAGAAAGGAGGATTCTTCTCCGAACCGCCCGGGCGGCGATGTCGCGCCGCTCTGCGGAGGGCCGCTCTCTGCATAGGACGCCACGGAGCGCGACTACGTATGGGCGTCCATTCCGCCCCCAGCGAGATGGCGAGCCTCTTGCGGGCACGACCGCGGATGTGACTATAAAGAGGGGAGCTGCCTCGGGGGAGGAGTGGGAAGCGGACCGCGGACAGGACTGCAGTGGTACGATCATACCTTGGCTACTACGCCGGATCCCATCAGAACTCCGCAGCTAGCGCCAGTGGGCGAGAGCAGTACTGGGCAGGGTGACCTCCCGGGAAGTCCTCGTGTCGTACCCATTTCTGCCTGCTCCCGTGCCCGGGAGGGGGCAGTGGGAAAAAGAAAGGAGGATTCTTCTCCGAACCGCCCGGGCGGCGATGTCGCGCCGCTCTGCGGAGGGCCGCTCTCTGCATAGGACGCCACGGAGCGCGACTACGTATGGGCGTCCATTCCGCCCCCAGCGAGATGGCGAGCCTCTTGCGGGCACGACCGCGGATGTGACTATAAAGAGGGGAGCTGCATCGGGGGAGGAGTGGGAAGCGGACCGCGGACAGGACTGCACGTGGTACGATCATACCTTGGCTACTACGCCGGATCCCATCAGAACTCCGCAGCTAAGCGCCAGTGGGCGAGAGCAGTTCTGGGCAGGGTGACCTCCCGGGAAGTCCTCGTGTCGTACCCATTTCTGCCTGCTCCCGTGCCCGGGAGGGGGCAGTGGGAAAAAGAAAGGAGGATTCTTCTCCGAACCGCCCGGGCGGCGATGTCGCGCCGCTCTGCGGAGGGCCGCTCTCTGCATAGGACGCCACGGAGCGCGACTACGTATGGGCGTCCATTCCGCCCCCAGCGAGATGGCGAGCCTCTTGCGGGCACGACCGCGGATGTGACTATAAAGAGGGGAGCTGCCTCGGGGGAGGAGTGGGAAGCGGACCGCGGACAGGACTGCACGTGGTACGATCATACCTTGGCTACTACGCCGGATCCCATCAGAACTCCGCAGCGTAGCGCCAGTGGGCGAGAGCAGTACTGGGCAGGGTGACCTCCCGGGAAGTCCTCGTGTCGTACCCATTTCTGCCTGCTCCCGTGCCCGGGAGGGGGCAGTGGGAAAAAGAAAGGAGGATTCTTCTCCGAACCGCCCGGGCGGCGATGTCGCGCCGCTCTGCGGAGGGCCGCTCTCTGCATAGGACGCCACGGAGCGCGACTACGTATGGGCGTCCATTCCGCCCCCAGCGAGATGGCGAGCCTCTTGCGGGCACGACCGCGGATGTGACTATAAAGAGGGGAGCTGCCTCGGGGGAGGAGTGGGAAGCGGACCGCGGACAGGACTGCACGTGGTACGATCATACCTTGGCTACTACGCCGGATCCCATCAGAACTCCGCAGCGTAGCGCCAGTGGGCGAGAGCAGTACTGGGCAGGGTGACCTCCCGGGAAGTCCTCGTGTCGTACCCATTTCTGCCTGCTCCCGTGCCCGGGAGGGGGCAGTGGGAAAAAGAAAGGAGGATTCTTCTCCGAACCGCCCGGGCGGCGATGTCGCGCCGCTCTGCGGAGGGCCGCTCTCTGCATAGGACGCCACGGAGCGCGACTACGTATGGGCGTCCATTCCGCCCCCAGCGAGATGGCGAGCCTCTTGCGGGCACGTCGCGGATGTGACTATAAAGAGGGGAGCTGCCTCGGGGGAGGAGTGGGAAGCGGACCGCGGACAGGACTGCACGTGGTACGATCATACCTTGGCTACTACGCCGGATCCCATCAGAACTCCGCAGCGTAGCGCCAGTGGGCGAGAGCAGTTCTGGGCAGGGTGACCTCCCGGGAAGTCCTCGTGTCGTACCCATTTCTGCCTGCTCCCGTGCCCGGGAGGGGCAGTGGGAAAAAGAAAGGAGGATTCTTCTCCGAACCGCCCGGGCGGCGATGTCGCGCGCTCTGCGGAGGGCCGCTCTCTGCATAGGACGCCACGGAGCGCGACTACGTATGGGCGTCCATTCGCCCCAGCGAGATGGCGAGCCTCTTGCGGGCACGACGCGGATGTGACTATAAAGAGGGGAGCTGCCTCGGGGGAGGAGTGGGAAGCGGACCGCGGACAGGACTGCACGTGGTACGATCATACCTTGGCTACTACGCCGGATCCCATCAGAACTCCGCAGCGTAGCGCCAGTGGGCGAGAGCAGTACTGGGCAGGGTGACCTCCCGGGAAGTCCTCGTGTCGTACCCATTTCTGCCTGCTCCCGTGCCCGGGAGGGGGCAGTGGGAAAAAGAAAGGAGGATTCTTCTCCGAACCGCCCGGGCGGCGATGTCGCGCCGCTCTGCGGAGGGCCGCTCTCTGCATAGGACGCCACGGAGCGCGACTACGTATGGGCGTCCATTCCGCCCCCAGCGAGATGGCGAGCCTCTTGCGGGCACGACCGCGGATGTGACTATAAAGAGGGGAGCTGCCTCGGGGGAGGAGTGGGAAGCGGACCGCGGACAGGACTGCACGTGGTACGATCATACCTTGGCTACTACGCCGGATCCCATCAGAACTCCGCAGCGTAGCGCCAGTGGGCGAGAGCAGTACTGGGCAGGGTGACCTCCCGGGAAGTCCTCGTGTCGTACCCATTTCTGCCTGCTCCCGTGCCCGGGAGGGGGCAGTGGGAAAAAGAAAGGAGGATTCTTCTCCGAACCGCCCGGGCGGCGATGTCGCGCCGCTCTGCGGAGGGCCGCTCTCTGCATAGGACGCCACGGAGCGCGACTACGTATGGGCGTCCATTCCGCCCCCAGCGAGATGGCGAGCCTCTTGCGGGCACGACCGCGGATGTGACTATAAAGAGGGGAGCTGCCTCGGGGGAGGAGTGGGAAGCGGACCGCGGACAGGACTGCACGTGGTACGATCATACCTTGGCTACTACGCCGGATCCCATCAGAACTCCGCAGCTAAGCGCCAGTGGGCGAGAGCAGTTATTTTATTAATAACAAAGAGAGTTACAAGTCATATAGCCAATATGAAACCGAAGTTGGAAATTTCGGCATGAATGTTACGCTATACGACCACAGTAATGTTTTTGGAAGTTAGGAAGAGAAGGGAAAGAAGAGAAGAGAAAGTAGAGAGGAAAAGAAGAGAAGGGAAGGTAGAAAGAGAGGGAAAGAAAGAGAAGGATAGAAGAAGTAGGAGGATCAAGAAAGATAGGAGTAAGGGAAAAGAAAGGGGGAGGTGAGAGAGGTGGAAGAGAGGAGGGGTGTGACTGTAAGGAGGGAGGGGTCCAAGGGACACGACAAAGCAGCAACCCGCGCCTACAGCGCAGACACAGCGTTTCAAGCACAGCCTACTCTTGTTTTCATCTACACATAGCCATCAAACAGGTACTGCATATCGGCCACACTGTCAAAGCAGCCACTGATGTGATGTCCGCTCCAGCTGCCTGCGCCAAGCGGTACCGGTATCGGCATCCATGCATCGTCCGACTCTCCCAGCTGTCGCACTGCATGCTGTGTGATAATGTTCGCCTGCGCACGCTGCAGCGCCACTGAAACTCGCGTGGTGAGAGCGCACTCAAAGATCCGCGCCGATGCCTCCTCCCCACTACCCGCGTCCCGCCGCTGCGTCGCTATGCGCTGTGAGCAGAGCCCCAGAAAATCTCGCAGTGGCACGCTCAAGTGCCCGAAAGTCTCAGCAACGCACGCATAGAACATCGGCTCCGGCTGCACTCCTACCAAGGCCGGCCGCCAGTCCCTGATCTTCTCCTGCACCCGCCTCGTCGCCGCCACCCCCCGCTGTGTGGATGCCGCTCGCCGAAACTGTGCGTTCCCACCCCGCTGTGGATCCGCTATCGACACGTCTATAATAATCATGAGTGCCTTCTCAGCGTCGCGGCATGTGAGGTCGGGGATGCGTGCGGGTGCTCCTGCGCGGCCTGCGCGTCCGGCTGTGCTGTGCTGCAGTGTGGGCTGCTGCCTAGTCGTGTCCCTGGTCCCCCTCCTCCTTGTGCCATTGTCCCCCCTCATCCTCCTCTCTCACCCTCCCTTCCCTTTCCCTTGCCCCTACCCCTCCCAACCCCCTGCCTCTCCTATCCCCTCCCCCAGACCCTCTCCATCTACCTGCCCCGCTCCTCCCGTCCTCCCCACTCCCTCGCCCCCCCCGTCCCCCCTGCTATCCCCCCTCCCCGTGCCACTCTCTCGCCCTCCTGTGCCCCTGTCCCCTGGCGGGGATCAAGCTCCACACCCCCTCTGGCCCCTCTAGCTGCCTCTGGCCCGTCCCGTGCTCGGTCCCCTGCTATCTGACCCCCTCCCTCGACCATGACTATCTCCTCGATCTCCTCCCCCCCACCACCCTGTGGTCGGGCTGCCCCCCCCTCTCCTGCGGTACCCTGAGTCCTTTCCCCCCGAGCCCCATCCGCCCTTCCCCCTTCCTGAGCCCCCCGTCTCCCTCGCCCCAGGCGCCTCCCCTGGCCCTCCCTCAGCTGCGGCTGCTGCGGCTGTACCGTCCTACCGTGTGAAACGGGCTGTCCCTGTGGCCGTGGCCCCTGTCCAAGGACTCCCGCCTCTGTCCCCCGCGTCTGCGGCACCAGCCGTGCCTGCTGTCCCGACTGTCCCGGCAGTCCCCACACTCCCTGCTGTCCTGGTGCTCCCCCCCTCCCTCGTGTCCCTCCCCCCCACCCTGCTGCCCCTCCCCCCCTCCTTGCTGTCCCTCCCCCCACCCTGCTGTCCCTCCCCCCCTCCCTGCTGTCCCTCCCCCCCTCCCTGCTGTCCCTCCCCCCCTCCCTGCGTCCCTCCTCCCCTCCCTGGGCCCTCTGTGCCCCCCGTCCTGTCCGAGTCCGTCCCTGTGCCAGCGTAGGCCCTCCCGCCTGTGCCCCCTCCCGCTGCTGCTGGGCTGTTAAGCGCCGTCGCACCTCCTCCAGGTGTGGGATGAGCGCCGTGTCCTCCACCCTGACCGCGAAACCCGCCTCGCGCGCGATGTCGCGGAGGACGTACTTCACGGCGTTGTGGACGGTCGTGGTGACGTGGTAGTGCTGACAGCGTACGACGTGGTGGGGCACCGACATGTCCTCGATCTCCCGTCCGCACGAGCAATGACCTGTAAGGGCTAACTGGGGGATAGACAGACCAAGGCGAAAACATGAAGCCACCTGCCACTGCGCCTCCGGGATGCGCAGTGGATCTGCATAAGGGACCGCCGTGAGCCACGCGCCTGCATCTGCGCCCTGAAGGGATGTCAAACGGGCAAGATGCAAAGGGTCAGTGTGACGTCCACGAACGGACTCTAATGCCGCCGCCTCTAGGTGCCGACTCACCTCAGAAAACAGACCGTCCGGCGCGCTCGAGATGCAAGAGGACAGGGGTGGCAGCAAGGCCCGGACTGACGGTGGAAGGTCTGCCAAAGCCGTCGCGATGTGGGGATCGATCCCTGCGGGGTCCTCCGCCGCGAGCGCCCGTCTGAAGGACTCACCGATCTGTGGGAGGGAGCAGAGGATGGGGGCGCACTGCGCCCAGGAGCAGAGGTAGCTCGCTGGCGCCGCGCGCGCCATGCGGCGGATGCCGAATCCGCCCAGCCTAATGGGCAGAAATGCCTGGTCCAAGGCCGCGCCGCGTATCTCTCCTCCTCCGCTCCAGGTGCCCGCGACGAATAGCCGCTGGAAGGCCTCGCCGAGGCCATCGTCCCAGCGCGCGAAGATGGAGCGCACCGCCTGTGTGGGCGGGACCGTGCGCGCTAGGTACTGAGGGCGCGTGCTGACGCATGCTGAGAGCAGGTGCGCAGCCACCTGGGGGTCACGCAACCTAGGCAGCCACGGCAGCACTCGGGCCATCCGCTCCAGGCGCTCCCTGAGTCTCGTGTGGACGAAATCCTCCGTGCCGACAGGCACCCCCGCAACCGTCAAACCCCGGCGCGCGACATCGAGGCCGAGGGCGGTGAAGCCTGCCAACTCCTCCGGTCGTGTGGACGCCGCTGGGTAGACCAGGCACTTGTGCGGCTGGACCGAGAGGCCCAGCTCGCCCAAGCGCCTCTGAATGGCAGTGAAGCTCTGCAACACCCTCTCTGGTGTGCCCAGGACGTACGTGTCATCCGCGTATGACCACAGCTGCACGTCCCCGTCCGCCAGCACTGGCTCCAGTGCCAGCCTCTGTGTCAGGGCAAAGAGAAATGGGCTCAGAGGGTCGCCCTGACGAGATCCTCGCTCTGAGCGGATGGTGGTGACTCCTCGCCCGGTCCGAAAGAACAGCGAGGATGGCGTGCCGTAGAAAAGGGCAACGAAAGGGATGAGGCAGCGAAACTCGGAGCTCGCTCGCAGTGCCTCGAACAAGCGATCGCGGTGATACGAGTTAAAGGCGTTCGCCACGTCGAGCTCGACGACCACCCAGTCCGGGTGGTCCGCCCTGCCGCGACGGACGCCCCTAACGACCAGCTCAGTACCGCAGGTCACCCCGACCCCGAACTGCTGTGATGGTAGAAAGACTCGAGCCATCGGCTCGCGCAACTGCAGGCATGCCGCCCGCTGGAGTAGGCGCGCAAGGACCTCGCCTATGGCTATCGGCCGAACGTCCATGTTCGGCTTGGAGAGCGCGACGAGGGTGGATGATGCCAGCATGGGAAGTGCGGCCGGGGCGCAGTCGCCCCGGAGCCACTGCTGGTAGACAGCAAGCAAGGTAGGGAGGGCCTTCGGGAAGGCCAAGAAGGTGTCGCGGAAGTGCTCGGCCACCCATCCCGAAGGTCCTCCCGAAGAGCCCCTCGGAGCGGTGAAAATGGCCCTGCGCAGATGCTCAATGCTCAGGACCAGGGCTGCATCCCGGAAGGAGGCCACCCATGCTGGGATGGGGCGCTCCGCGCAAGGGTGCTTCGCCCGTAGGCGGTGCACCGTCTGATCTCCGTCCGGGGCCGCCTCTGCCGACTCCAAGGCCGCACAAGCACGTGACGTCTCATTGCACGCTGCCAGGCGGAGGCAACGGGCAATGCGGCGCTCGTCAGGCGTCGGAGTCGCGGCGCGGGCGCGGCGTGTCGTGCATGCCGCGAGGGGTGTGCGGCGGTGGAGCGCCTCTGCTATGAGGGCGTCCCAATCTCCACCAAGGAAGCGCGCAATGCGCGCAGTGATGGCCGCCGTATGTGATCGTGCAGGTGGTGTAGCGGGCGTGAGGAGGAGGGTCGGGATGGCCAACAGCAGAAACGTCGGCCCGCCCGCCCTGGGGTGCTGGCTGATGCGCTGCAAGATCGCGCAGAGGACATCCACGTACCCCCCGCGAACCCTCGGCGGGATACGCCGGAGCGGGCGAGCATGCATGCGTCTCGGTGAGAAATAATCCGTCCAATCGACCGCATCCAAGGACGACCACTGGACGTCCGAGAATGTGACGACGGAGGCGCGTGGCTCGCTGAATGAGGGAGGGGAAGAGGTGGCATCCTGCAGGGCCTCCGCCCTGCGTAGAGCATCGGCGGGCTGGCAATGGGGTGCATGGAGAGCAAGAGCGTGGCTGCTCACCAAGGTGCTCCGGCAGGTAGGACACGTGACCGCTAGTCCTCCTGTCGGCACCGCTGTGTCGTGCGGGGGGACTGGCATCGTGCTCTCCGAGCTATCAGCGCCGACGACCGCCTCTTCGATGGGCCCCTGTCCGAGGTCGGTGGCCCAAGTGGGGGGCGGGCCGTGCGTCTGGGGCGGGCAAGGCAATGGCCGGGGGGGAGGAGCGACGGCGGGATGCGCGGGCGTGGGTGAGGATGGTACGACCAAGGGGACAGTGGCTAGGGCGGGGCATGCGTCTGGATGGCAGGCTAGCTCAGTGGCCTCGCCGGGGGACGTAGGAGCTGGGGTGTGGGCAGCTGGAGCAGTGGATGCGTCTGGGCAGAGGGGGTGGTCGGGGGCCGCGTCGGAGTCATCGATCACCATGCGCTCCGGTGTGAGGGCGGTGGACGGGGGGGAAGGGGGGGCATGGGAGATGTCTGGAGCAGGGTCCACGGTGCCCCCCCCCACCCGACCCGGACAAGCGGGCGCAGAGGGGGTGGCGGACGCGTCCCATATCCTGAGAAGGTCGGCAACTGCCGCCTCCGTCTCCCCATCTGCCCCCTGCGACTGTCCGCCTGTGGGTAGGGGGAGCAGGGCAGGCTGGTTGGTCGTGGTGGGCGAACCACCGTGGGACCTGGCCTGGGTCGGAGGTTGTGGACCGGAGGGGGACAAAGAAGCGGGTGGTGGGGACCGACGCTGGGGGGGGATATAGGCTTGCTTGCGAGAGGCTAACGACCCCTCTTCCACCGCCGGTTCGATTTCCATCGCGGATGGGGCATCGGCGGCGACTGTCTGGTGGGGGGCCAGGGGCGGGATGGGGGGGTGACAGGGGAGTGAGGCCTGGGTGGGGCGAGGGAGGGAGACCGTCCGAAGCTCGCCATCCTGGTTATGGGAGGGCAGTGGGTGGCAGGCCGGGGGCAATGATGGGGTCGCCTGAGGGGTGGTGGCTGGTAAGGGCTGCGCGCCAGCAGAGGGTGGAGTCGTGTCCGGCTGCTCCGAGCGCCGGGCTGCCCCGGGTGTCCCCTTGCCCTTGCCCTTCTTCCGGCGACCTGTGTGGGGTTGGGCAAACTGTCCAATCAGTGGCTGCCGTGTGACCGCCCCCTGCTGTGGGTGAGGAGTGTGAGAATGGGGCAGCTGGGAGGGTGAGGGGGTGTGGCCGCCGATGGCCGCCTGCCGCGATGGGCTAGCCTGCGCATGGATGGCGGCCTGCCCTGGGGCGGGTGCAGATGGGGACAGGGGGGGAAAGAGAGGGGTGGTGGCGGTGGTGGAATCGGCAGCGCCATCCGTGAGGCCCCGCCCTCCCCCGACACCTTCCCCGTCCCCTTCCCCCTGGGCGTCTGCCGACATCGCTGCCTGTGCGGAGCGACGGTAAGGGGGGATGTAGGGTTGGGAGGAGACATCATGCAGGTCCCCTACTCCTGTTGTGTCGACGTCCATCGCGGATGGGTGGCTCGCTGCGACCACCTGAATACTGACGGGCAAGGAGTGTGTGGGGCAGGAAGGGGGAGGGTGAGATGGGGGGGCCGCCCTCGCCTCGCCCCTGTTCGCGCTGATGGGCCGGGCGGGAGTGGGGGGGCAGGGCAAGAGAGGTGGTTGGGCAGTAGGGTAAGGGTTAAGCGTGGGTGGGACGCTCAATGGAGGGGGTGGGAAGGGTGGGTGCCCCAGCGCTGGGCTGGAGGGTGTGTGAGACGGAAGTGACAAGGGAGGGCCCAAGAGGGAGGCACTCCCGTGGTCGCCTGCCGTGCGGGACATGAAACCTGGGGGCTGCACGAAAGGGCGCGAGGGGAGTTCCGGCTGGATTGCCGGGGAAAGGGGGCGGGTGGGATGTGTGGGAGAGGGAGGGGGGGGGCGGGACGCGGGCAAGGTAGGGCCCACGGCCTGGAAGGGAAGCAGAGTGGGCGCCGAGGGACCCCCGCCTTGCCCGAAGCTTAGCTGTGGGGCTTGGGAAGTGGGATCAGCCGGGGTGAGACGGCGAGGGCCGAGAGGGAGTTGATTCGGGTTGCTCCCCCTTGCCGGGGGTGCACCCCGCTCACCGTTCCTATGGGAAGCGCCCATGTGGCCGACAGGGTGTGTGCCCTGTGCCGGGCGGGAGCACCTGGGGTGGAACAGGGTTGGGGGCGGACTGACGAGGGGGGTTGGGCAAGAGCCGCCCCTCCTTGTGCTACCCAGGTCGAGGCGTCCGGCGCGACAGCCTGCGTGGGTGGGGAGGGGGAGGGAGCAACCTGCCCGGCTGTTGTTTGTGCTCCTGGCGCCGGCGCGAGGGCTGATGAGGGAGAGCATGGAAGGGTTGAGTCGACCAAGATATATCCGGCGAGCGGGCCATCATTGTCCGAGCCATCCTCGGCGGCCGCCTCGTGGGGCACACTCGGCTGTAAGGGGAGGGTGTGGGGGGAGAGGGAGTGGTGAGACTGCGTCCCGATCATTGGCTCGGGTGTACAGGGGTCCGCCAAAAACGCCAAGGCTCGGGCCGCCCCGCCCATAGCCCTGGGTTGTAGCCCACGGCGAGGGCCCTGCGCCGCTGGTGAAGCCCCTGCATGCATGGGATTGGGAGTAGGGGGGGGAAGGGGGGGACGGGGGACCGCAAGGGAAGTAGGGGGAGGAGGGGAAGGAGGGGGGGGGAGGGGGGAGATGGAGGGGGTGGGAGGGGATGAGACAGTCTCTTCCGGCCCAGGTGCTGCCCTGTGTCCTGCCTCCTTAGCCCTCGTCCCAGTTACTGCCTTACCTTCGGCCGCTCCGGCTGCTGTCTCTCTCACCACACCTCCTGCTGGAGCTGCCGCAGCTGCTGCCCTTCCTGCAGCGGCTCCCGCTGCCCTCTCCCGTGCAGCACCTCTTGCCGCTGCCCGTGTTGCTGCTGTTGCTGCCTTCCCTGCTGCCGCCCCAGCTGCCCTTCCTGTTGCTGCCATCCCCGCAGCTACCCCGGCAGTTGTCTCCCCCGCGGCACGCCCTGCTGATCCTGCTGCTACCTTCCCTGCAGCCGCTTCCGCTACTGCCCCCGGTGCGGCACCCCCTGCTGCCCCTTTTTCCGCTGACACCACCGCAGCCGCCGCCGCCGCCGTTGCCGCCGCCGCCGCTGTCGCGGCCCTGCTAGCCGCTGCCTGCGAAACAGCGGGACCCATTGCTACTTTCCCTGCCGCTGCCCCCGCTGCTGCCTTCCCTGCCGCAGCACTTGCTGCTGGTTTCCCTGTGGCGCTCCCCCTGGCTGCCTTCCCCGCAGCGGCCCCTATCTCTGCCTCCTCCGCTGCTGCCGCAGCAGCTGCCAGACGTGCATACATCCCCCCCCCGGTAATAGCCCGTGCGAGAGCGCGTACAACAGCTCCCTTTCCTGCCTCCTCCGCCGTAGGTAGCCTTGCCGCTGCTGCCGCCTCCGGCGGCTCTCCTATCCCTGCCGCACCAGCAGCCGCCCCTGCACGTGCTCCTGTTGCTGCTGCTGCCGCTGCTGCTGCTGCTGCCTCTGCCGTTGTCCCTGCCCCCGCCGCCTCAGCAGGGACTCCTTCGTCTGCTTCCCCGGCAGCCACCCTGGCCGCTGCAGCGGCCCCAGCCATCACCGCCTCTGCGGCATCCCGAGCCCCGGTCGCTGCGCCCCTCGCAAGATCGGCTGCTGCTGCCTCCTCTGCGGTGGCAGCTCCAGCTCCTGCCGCTGTCGCCGCCCGCACCGCCGCTGCTCCTGCCTCTGCCGCCTCTGCAGGGGCGCCTGCTGTTGCTGCTGTCCCCAAATCCGCCCCGGCTGCCCCTGTGGCCCCTGCTGCTACTGCCTCTGCCGCATCCCGAGCCCGAGCCCGAGCCGATGCACCTCTTGCATGATCCATTGCTGCCGCCTCCTCCACGGAGGCCCCAGCTGTTGGCGCCGCTGCCCATGCTCCCGCTGCCACCGTCTCTGCTGCAGCCCCAGCTGCTGCTGCCGCCGCCGCGACCACCCCCCCAGCTGCTGCCAACTCTGGAGCGGCCCCACCCCCAGCGGCTGCTACCTCTGCAGGGTCTCCCTCTGCCGCCCCCGTTGCAACCGGCCCAGGTGCCTGCGCCTCTGCCGGTGCTGGAGCTGCTGCCACTTCTGCAAAGGCCTTTGCGGCAGCCCCCACAGCCGCCCCTCCCACCACGGCTGTCGTTCCTCCCCCTGCGGCTACAGCCCGTGCTGCTGCCGCCTCTGCAGCCGCCTTTTCCACCTTCCCCCATGCAGCCTCTCCTGCCTCTGCCTCTGCCATAGCAGCTTCCGCTGGAGTACCCCCTGCGGTGACTCCTGCGGCAGCCTCCTTTGCCGCGGTCCTGATGGCTGCCACTGTTGCAACCGCCCCTGCAGTTGCCACACCTGCAGCCTCTCCTGCTGCTGCCTCCGGCGCCGCACCACATGCGGCCATGGACTGCGCATAGGCCCGGGCCATACCCTCTAATGCTGCCCTCTCTACCCCAGCCCGTGCCACCTCCCCCTCCGCCTCCGCTCCAGCTGCCGCTCCTGCCAACCCCACAGCTCCCGTCGCTGGCTCCCCTGCTGAGGACCCGGCCTCGAGCCTGGCTGCACTAGGAGCGGGTGCTATGAGCTCAACTACGTCCTCATCCGAGTCCTCGGCGCCCTCCAAAACCCAGTCCGAGTCCTTCGCGTTGTCCCCATCCGAGTCCCCGGCCTCGTCCCACTCTGAGTCCTCACCAGCCCCCACCGGCTCTGCCGATCTTTCCCCCTCCGCCCTCTCCGTCACCCCCTCTTTCACCTCCCACACCCGCATCTCTGCTGCCACCTCTGCAGGACCCCCCGGTGCTGCCGCATCCCCATCCCCTGCCACAGGCCCTGCTGCGGCCTCACCTGTGCCAGCCTTGCTACATGTGGCCATGGGTGTGGAGGAGGTGGGGGCTCTCCTGGCGCTAGTGTTGGCCTGTGGGAGTGGCGGAGGGGGGGCAGATGACTTTTTGCGACCAGGGAGCGCGAGCGTGTGGCTTCGCGCTCCTGCTTCTCCAGGCGTGAGGCGGGGCCTTCCTCTGCCTTCTCCCGTGGTCGTTTCCGGCCTCGCGAGGCAGAGCGCACCTGGTCCCCGCCCTTGCCGACGGTCACCTCGACGCGGGCTGGCGGGGCGATACTGTTGGGTGGGGGGATGGAAGACGATGAGTAGGGGGAAGGGCGGCTACCGGCTCTGCCTGACCGTCGGAGAGCACCGGGGCCGCCCTCCCCCCATTGCAGGGGGTGTGGGTCATGGCCACGGGGACTGCATGCTAGAAGAGGGGGAGGAGGGGGAAGCAGGGGGGGAAGGGAGGGAGGAAAACAGCGGGGAAAGAAGGTGAGATCAGAGAAACTGCGTGGAGTGGGGAGGGGGACAGGGGGGGGAGGATAGGGAGAGAACAGGGGGCGGCGATTAGAGGAGGGTTATGGCGCTCGACTGTGGGGAGACGTACGGGGGAAGGTGGGGAAACGGGGATAGGACAACATGGAAAGAAACAGCCTGCAGGGACAGGGGGAACTGGAAGGAGAGGGGGGGAGGAGTGAAGAGCACCGGGTGTGGGGCGGGACGATTTCGGGGGTGGAAACTGACGTGTGAGTTGGTGGGAGCAAGGGGGGAAAATCAGAGGGCGAGGGGCGGAAAAGCAGCGAGGAAGAGGGAGAAAACGCACTGGGCAAAAGAGGCGAAGAGCAGTGGGCAAGGGGGGGAAATCAGTGGGCCAGGGGGAAGGTCAGTGGGCAGCGGGGGAAGAGTAGAGGGCAGGGCGGGGAACAGCAGTGGGCAATGGGGAGGAAGGGGTGGGCAAGGAGGGGAAAGGCAGTGGGCAAAGGGGGGAGGAATGGTGGGCGAGGGGGGAAAAGCAGTGGGCAATGGGGGGAAAGTAGTGGGCTAGGGGGAAGGGAGGGGGAAACAAGGGGAAAAGAGTGGAAAGCAGGATAGAATACGAGGGGGAAACAACGGGGGACAGTAGGGGAGAGCGGGCGGGGATAAGAGTGGGGGAACCAAGGGGGGAAGGGGGGGAGGAACACGAAGAAAATGGGGGAAAGCGGGGGGGGAAAATGGGGGGAAAGGGGGGGAGGAACGCGATGTCGCGCCGCTCTGCGGAGGGCCGCTCTCTGCATAGGACGCCACGGAGCGCGACTACGTATGGGCGTCCATTCCGCCCCCAGCGAGATGGCGAGCCTCTTGCGGGCACGTTCGCGGATGTGACTATAAAGAGGGGAGCTGCATCGGGGGAGGAGTGGGAAGCGGACCGCGGACAGGACTGCACGTGGTACGATCATACCTTGGCTACTACGCCGGATCCCATCAGAACTCCGCAGCTAAGCGCCAGTGGGCGAGAGCAGTTTTCTCATTAAAAATAACGAGGGTTACAAGTCATATAGCAATTCTAAAGCCAAATATGAGATTTTCGGCATGAGCGTTGCGCTATTATGACATAGTAGCGTTTAGAGGTATAGAAGAAAAAAAGAGAGAGAGAAGAGATAGAGAAGGAAAGAAAGAGAAGATAGTGGAAGGAAGAAGGTAGCAGAAAGAGTGGGGGAGAAGAGAGCGAGATAGAGGAGAGAAAGAGAAGAGGGGAAGAGGGGAGGGGGGGTGTGACTATATCAAAGGGACATCCTGGGACCTAACAAAACAACAGCCCACGCGCACAGCGCGGGCACAGCGTCTCAAGCACGGCCTATATATGTTTTTCTACACATATGCATCATACATGTACTGCATATCTGCTGCACTCTCGAAGCACCCTGTGATGTGGTGCCAACTCCCCTGCCCAGCGCCCAAAGGTACAGGCGCTGGCATCCATCCATTGTCGGAGCCGCCCAGCTGCCGCACTGCATGCTGCATGATCACATTTGCCTGCGCGCGCTGCAGTGCCACGGAGAGACGCGTAGTGAGGCTCGTCTCAAATATCCGTGCCGACCCGTCATCCCCTGCCCCTGAATCTCTCCTCCGCCGTGCTGTCCGCGATGCACACAGCCCTAGGAACTGCCGCAGTGGCTCACTCAGGCACCCAAAAGTCTCCACTACGCAGGCGTAAAACTCTGGATCCGGCTGCAACCCCTGTAACACCGGCCTCCAGTGTCGCAGCTTGTCCTGCACCCGCCTAGCTGCTGCGCCGCCAATCTGAGTGGGTGCCATCCGCCTGAACTGCGCATTCCCCTCCCGCTGTGGGTCCGCCTCCGCTCCAACTGGGCGAGAGCAGTTCTGGGCAGGGTGACCTCCCGGGAAGTCCTCGTGTCGTACCCATTTCTGCCTGCTCCCGTGCCCGGGAGGGGGCAGTGGGAAAAAGAAAGGAGGATTCTTCTCCGAACCGCCCGGGCGGCGATGTCGCGCCGCTCTGCGGAGGGCCGCTCTCTGCATAGGACGCCACGGAGCGCGACTACGTATGGGCGTCCATTCCGCCCCCAGCGAGATGGCGAGCCTCTTGCGGGCACGTTCGCGGATGTGACTATAAAGAGGGGAGCTGCATCGGGGGAGGAGTGGGAAGCGGACCGCGGACAGGACTGCACGTGGTACGATCATACCTTGGCTACTACGCCGGATCCCATCAGAACTCCGCAGCTAAGCGCCAGTGGGCGAGAGCAGTTATTTTATTAATAACAAAGAGAGTTACAAGTCATATAGCCAATATGAAACCGAAGTTGGAAATTTCGGCATAAATGTTACGCTATACGACCACAGTAATGTTTTTGGAAGTTAGGAAGAGAAGGGAAAGAAGAGAAGAGAAAGTAGAGAGGAAAAGAAGAGAAGGGAAGGTAGAAAGAGAGGGAAAGAAAGAGAAGGATAGAAGAAGTAGGAGGATCAAGAAAGATAGGAGTAAGGGAAAAGAAAGAGGGAGGTGAGAGAGGTGGAAGAGAGGAGGGGTGTGACTGTAAGGAGGGAGGGGTCCAAGGGACACGACAAAGCAGCAACCCGCGCCTACAGCGCAGACACAGCGTTTCAAGCACAGCCTACTCTTGTTTTCATCTACACATAGCCATCAAACAGGTACTGCATATCGGCCACACTGTCAAAGCAGCCACTGATGTGATGTCCGCTCCAGCTGCCTGCGCCAAGCGGTACCGGTATCGGCATCCATGCATCGTCCGACTCTCCCAGCTGTCGCACTGCATGCTGTGTGATAATGTTCGCCTGCGCACGCTGCAGCGCCACTGAAACTCGCGTGGTGAGAGCGCACTCAAAGATCCGCGCCGATGCCTCCTCCCCACTACCCGCGTCCCGCCGCTGCGTCGCTATGCGTTGTGAGCAGAGCCCCAGAAAATCTCGCAGTGGCACGCTCAAGTGCCCGAAAGTCTCAGCAACGCACGCATAGAACATCGGCTCCGGCTGCACCCCTACCAAGGCCGGCCGCCAGTCCCTGATCTTCTCCTGCACCCGCCTCGTCGCCGCCACCCCCCGCTGTGTGGATGCCGCTCGCCGAAACTGTGCGTTCCCACCCCGCTGTGGATCCGCTATCGACACGTCTATAATAATCATGAGTGCCTTCTCAGCGTCGCGGCATGTGAGGTCGGGGATGCGTGCGGGTGCTCCTGCGCGGCCTGCGCGTCCGGCTGTGCTGTGCTGCGGTGTGGGCTGCTGCCTAGTCGTGTCCCCTGGTCCCCCTCCTCCTTGTGCCATTGTCCCCCCCTCATCCTCCTCTCTCACCCTCCCTTCCCTTTCCCTTGCCCCTACCCCTCCCAACCCCCCTGCCTCTCCTATCCCCTCCCCCAGACCCTCTCCATCTACCTGCCCCGCTCCTCCCGTCCTCCCCACTCCCTCGCCCCCCCCGTCCCCCCTGCTATCCCCCCTCCCCGTGCCACTCTCTCGCCCTCCTGTGCCCCTGTCCCCTGGCGGGGATCAAGCTCCACACCCCCTCTGGCCCCTCTAGCTGCCTCTGGCCCGACCCGTGCTCGGTCCCCTGCTATCTGACCCCCTCCCTCGACCATGACTATCTCCTCGATCTCCTCCCCCCCACCACCCTGTGGTCGGGCTGCCCCCCCCTCTCCTGCGGTACCCTGAGTCCTTTCCCCCCGAGCCCCATCCGCCCTTCCCCCTTCCTGAGCCCCCCGTCTCCCTCGCCCCAGGCGCCTCCCCTGGCCCTCCCTCAGCTGCGGCTGCTGCGGCTGTACCGTCCTACCGTGTGAAACGGGCTGTCCCTGTGGCCGTGGCCCCTGTCCAAGGACTCCCGCCTCTGTCCCCCGCGTCTGCGGCACCAGCCGTGCCTGCTGTCCCGACTGTCCCGGCAGTCCCCACACTCCCTGCTGTCCTGGTGCTCCCCCCCCTCCCTCGTGTCCCTCCCCCCACCCTGCTGCCCCTCCCCCCTCCTTGCTGTCCCTCCCCCCACCCTGCTGTCCCTCCCCCCCTCCCTGCTGTCCCTCCCCCCCTCCCTGCTGTCCCTCCCCCCCTCCCTGCCGTCCCTCCTCCCCTCCCTGGGCCCTCTGTGCCCCCCGTCCTGTCCGAGTCCGTCCCTGTGCCAGCGTAGGCCCTCCCGCCTGTGCCCCCTCCCGCTGCCGCTGGGCTGTCAAGCGCCGTCGCACCTCCTCCAGGTGTGGGATGAGCGCCGTGTCCTCCACCCTGACCGCGAAACCCGCCTCGCGCGCGATGTCGCGAAGGACGTACTTCACGGCGTTGTGGACGGTCGTGGTGACGTGGTAGTGCTGACAGCGTACGACGTGGTGGGGCACCGACATGTCCTCGATCTCCCGTCCGCACGAGCAACGACCTGTAAGGGCTAACTGGGGGATAGACAGACCAAGGCGAAAACATGAAGCCACCTGCCACTGCGCCTCCGGGATGCGCAGTGGATCTGCATAAGGGACCGCCGTGAGCCACGCGCCTGCATCTGCGCCCTGAAGGGATGTCAAACGGGCAAGATGCAAAGGGTCAGTGTGACGTCCACGAACGGACTCTAATGCCGCCGCCTCTAGGTGCCGACTCACCTCAGAAAACAGACCGTCCGGCGCGCTCGAGATGCAAGAGGACAGGGGTGGCAGCAAGGCCCGGACTGCCGGTGGAAGGTCTGCCAAAGCCGTCGCGATGTGGGGATCGATCCCTGCAGGGTCCTCCGCCGCGAGCGCCCGTCTGAAGGACTCACCGATCTGTGGGAGGGAGCAGAGGATGGGGGCGCACTGCGCCCAGGAGCAGAGGTAGCTCGCTGGCGCCGCGCGCGCCATGCGGCGGATGCCGAATCCGCCCAGCCTAATGGGCAGAAATGCCTGGTCCAAGGCCGCGCCGCGTATCTCTCCTCCTCCGCTCCAGGTGCCCGCGACAAATAGCCGCTGGAAGGCCTCGCCGAGGCCATCGTCCCAGCGCGCGAAGATGGAGCGCACCGCCTGTGTGGGCGGGACCGTGCGCGCTAGGTACTGAGGGCGCGTGCTGACGCATGCTGAGAGCAGGTGCGCAGCCACCTGGGGGTCACGTAACCTAGGCAGCCACGGCAGCACTCGGGCCATCCGCTCCAGGCGCTCCCTAAGTCTCGTGTGGACGAAATCCTCCGTGCCGACAGGCACCCCCGCAACCGTCAAACCCCGGCGCGCGACATCGAGGCCGAGGGCGGTGAAGCCTGCCAACTCCTCCGGTCGTGTGGACGCCGCTGGGTAGACCAGGCACTTGTGCGGCTGGACCGAGAGGCCCAGCTCGCCCAAGCGCCTCTGAATGGCAGTGAAGCTCTGCAACACCCTCTCTGGTGTGCCCAGGACGTACGTGTCATCCGCGTATGACCACAGCTGCACGTCCTCGTCCGCCAGCACTGGCTCCAGTGCCAGCCTCTGTGTCAGGGCAAAGAGAAATGGGCTCAGAGGGTCGCCCTGACGAGATCCTCGCTCTGAGCGGATGGTGGTGACTCCTCGCCCGGTCCGAAAGAACAGCGAGGATGGCGTGCCGTAGAAAAGGGCAACGAAAGGGATGAGGCAGCGAAACTCGGAGCTCGCTCGCAGTGCCTCGAACAAGCGATCGCGGTGATACGAGTTAAAGGCGTTCGCCACGTCGAGCTCGACGACCACCCAGTCCGGGTGGTCCGCCCTGCCGCGACGGACGCCCCTAACGACCAGCTCAGTACCGCAGGTCACCCCGACCCCGAACTGCTGTGATGGTAGGAAGACTCGAGCCATCGGCTCGCGCAGCTGCAGGCATGCCGCCCGCTGGAGTAGGCGCGCAAGGACCTCCCCTATGGCTATCGGCCGAACGTCCATGTTCGGCTTGGAGAGCGCGACGAGGGTGGATGATGCCAGCATGGGAAGTGCGGCCGGGGCGCAGTCGCCCCGGAGCCACTGCTGGTAGACAGCAAGCAAGGTAGGGAGGGCCTTCGGGAAGGCCAAGAAGGTGTCGCGGAAGTGCTCGGCCACCCATCCCGAAGGTCCTCCCGAAGAGCCCCTCGGAGCGGTGAAAATGGCCCTGCGCAGATGCTCAATGCTCAGGACCAGGGCTGCATCCCGAAAGGAGGCCACCCATGCTGGGATGGGGCGCTCCGCGCAAGGGTGCTTCGCCCGTAGGCGGTGCACCGTCTGATCTCCGTCCGGGGCCGCCTCTGCCGACTCCAAGGCCGCACAAGCACGTGACGTCTCATTGCACGCTGCCAGGCGGAGGCAACGGGCAATGCGGCGCTCGTCAGGCGTCGGAGTCGCGGCGCGGGCGCGGCGTGTCGTGCATGCCGCGAGGGGTGTGCGGCGGTGGAGCGCCTCTGCTATGAGGGCGTCCCAATCTCCACCAAGGAAGCGCGCAATGCGCGCAGTGATGGCCGCCGTATGTGATCGTGCAGGTGGTGTAGCTGGCGTGAGGAGGAGGGTCGGGATGGCCAACAGCAGAAACGTCGGTCCGCCCGCCCTGGGGTGCTGGCTGATGCGCTGCAAGATCGCGCAGAGGACATCCACGTACCCCCCGCGAACCCTCGGCGGGATACGCCGGAGCGGGCGAGCATGCATGCGTCTCGGTGAGAAATAATCCGTCCAATCGACCGCATCCAAGGACGACCACTGGGCGTCCGAGAATGTGACGACGGAGGCGCGTGGCTCGCTGAATGAGGGAGGGGAAGAGGTGGCATCCTGAAGGGCCTCAGCCCTGCGTAGAGCATCGGCCGGCTGACAATGGGGTGCATGGAGAGCAAGAGCGTGGCTGCTCACCAAGGTGCTCCGGCAGGTGGGACACGTGACCGCTAGTCCTCCTGTCGGCACCGCTGTGTCGTGCGGGGGGACTGGCATCGTGCTCTCCGAGCCGTCAGCGCCGACAACCGCCTCTTCGATGGGCCCCTGTCCGAGGTCGGTGGCCCAAGTGGGGGGCGGGCCGTGCGTCTGGGGCGGGCAAGGCAATGGCCGGGGGGAGGCGCGACGGCGGGATGCGCGGGCGTGGGTGAGGATGGTACGACCAGGGGGACAGTGACCAGGGCGGGGCATGCGTCCGGATGGCAGGCTAGCTCAGTGGCCTCGCCGGGGGACGTAGGAGCTGGGGTGTGGGCAGCTGGAGCAGTGGACGCATCTGGGCAGAGGGGGTGGTCGGGGGCCGCGTCGGAGTCATCGATCACCATGCGCTCCGGTGTGAGGGCGGTGGACGGGGGGGAAGGGGGGGTATGGGAGATGTCTGGAGCAGGGTCCACGGTGCCCCCCCCCACCCGACCTGGACAAGCGGGCGCAGAGGGGGTGGCGGACGCGTCCCATATCCTGAGAAGGTCGGCAACTGCCGCCTCCGTCTCCCCATCTGCCCCCTGCGACTGTCCACCTGTGGGTAGGGGGAGCAGGGCAGGCTGGTTGGTCGTGGTGGGCGAACCACCGTGGGCCCTGACCTGGGTGAGAGGTTGTGGACCGGAGGGGGACAAAGAAGCGGGTGGTGGGGACCGACGCTGGGGGGGGATATAGGCTTGCTTGCGAGAGGCTAACGACACCTCTTCCGCCTCTGGTTCGATTTCCATCGCGGATGGGGCATCGGCGGCGACCGTCTGGTGGGGGGCCAAAGGCGGGATGGGGGGGTGACAGGGGAGTGGGGCCTGGGTGGGGTGAGGGAGGGAGACCGTCCGAAGCTCGCCATCCTGGTTATGGGAGGGCAGTGGGTGGCGGGCCGGGGGCAATGATGGGGTCGCCTGAGGGGTGGTGGATGGTAAGGGCTGCACGCCAGCAGAGGGTGGAGTCGTGTCCGGCTGCTCCGAGCGCCGGGCTGCCCCGGGTGTCCCCGTGCCCTTGCCCTTCTTCCGGCGACCTGTGTGGGGTTGGGCAAACTGTCCAATCAGCGGCTGCCGTGTGACCGCCCCCTGCTGTGGGTGAGGAGTGTGAGAATGGGGCAGCTGGGAGGGTGAGGGGGTGTGGCCGCCGATGGCCGCTTGCCGCGATGGGTTAGCCTGCGCATGGATGGCGGCCTGCCCTGGGGCGGGTGCAGATGGGGACAGGGGGAGAAAGTGAGGGGTGGTGGCGGTGGTGGAATCGGCAGCACCGTCCGCAATGCCCCGCCCTCCCCCGACACCTTCCCCGTCCCCTTCCCCCTGGGCGTCTGCCGATATCGCTGCCTGTGCGGAGCGACGGTAAGGGGGGATGTAGGGTTGGGAGGAGACATCATGCAGGTCCCCTACTCCTGTTTTGTCGACGTCCATCGCGGATGGGTGGCTCGCTGCGACCACCTGAATACTGACGGGCAAGGAGTGTGTGGGGCAGGAAGGGGGAGGGTGAGATGGGGGGGCCGCCCTCGCCTCGCCCCTGTTCGCGCTGATGGGTCGGGCGGGAGTAGGGGGGCAGGGCAAGAGAGGTGGTTGGGCAGTAGGGTAAGGGTTAAGCGCGGGTGGGACGCTCAATGGAGGGGGTGGGAAGGGTGGGTGCCCCAGCGCTGGGCTGGAGGGTGTGTGGGACGGAAGTGACAAGGGAGGGCCCAAGAGGGAGGCACTCCCGCGGTCGCCTGCCGTGCGGGACATGAAACCTGGGGGCTGCACGAAAGGGCGCGAGGGGAGTTCCGGCTGGATTGCCGGGGAAAGGGGGCGGGTGGGATGTGTGGGAGAGGGAGGGGGGGGGCGGGGCGCGGGCAAGGTAGGGCCCACGGCCGGGAAGGGAAGCAGAGTGGGCGCCGAGGGACCCCCGCCTGGCCCGAAGCTTAGCTGTGGGGCTTGGGAAGTGGGATCAGCCGGGGTGAGACGGCGAGGGCCGAGAGGGAGTTGATTCGGGTTGCTCCCCCTTGCCGGGGGTGCACCCCGCTCACCGTTCCTATGGGAAGCGCCCGTGTGGCCGACAGGGTGTGTGCCCTGTGCCGGGCGGGAGGCACCTGGGGTGGAACAGGGTTGGGGGCGGACTGACGAGGGGGGTTGGGCAAGAGCCGCCCCTCCTTGTGCTACCCAGGTCGAGGCGTCCGGCGCGACAGCCTGCGTGGGTGGGGAGGGGGAGGGAGCAACCTGCCCGGCTGTTGTTTGTGCTCCTGGCGTCGGCGCGAGGGCTGCTGAGGGAGAGCAAGGAAGGGTTGAGTCGACCAAGATATATCCGGCGAGCGGGCCATCATTGTCCGAGCCATCCTCGGCGGCCGCCTCCTGGGGCACACTCGGCCGTAAGGGGAGGGTGTGGGGGGAGAGGGAGTGGTGAGACTGCGTCCCGATCATTGGCTCGGGTGTACAGGGGTCCGCCAAAAACGCCAAGGCTCGGGCCGCCCCGCCCATAGCCCTGGGTTGTAGCCCACGGCGAGGGCCCTGCGCCGCTGGTGAAGCCCCTGCATGCATGGGATTGGGAGTAGGGGGGGGAAGGGGGGGACGGGGGACCGCAAGGGAAGTAGGGGGAGGAGGGGAAGGAGGGGGGGGGAGGGGGGAGATGGGGGGGTGGGAGGGGATGAGACAGTCTCTTCCGGCCTAGGTGCTGCCCTGTGTCCGGCCTCCTTAGCCCTCGTCCCAGTTACTGCCTTACCATCAGCCGCTCCGGCTGCTGTCTCTCTCACCACACCTCCTGCTGGAGCTGCCGCAGCTGCTGCCCTTCCTGCAGCGGCTCCCGCTGCCCTCTCCCGTGCAGCACCTCTT